GACTCACTTGGTAGCCCAGGCTGGCCTCGAACTCACAGAGATCCGCCTGCCTCTGCCTCCCGAGTGCTGGGATTAAAGGCGTGCACCACCACCGCCCGGCCATTTCTTGTTTTTATTATCTATCTTCAGCCATTTAAATTATTCTTTAAAAAGTCGGTGGTAGCGCATGACTTTAATCCCAGTACTCATAGGCAGAGGCAGGCAGAGGCATGGGGAGGGGAGTTTCAGGCCAGCCTAGTCTACAGAGTGAGTTCCAGGACAGTCAGAGCTGTTACACAGAGGAATGCTGTCTGGGGTGGGGGTGGGGATTATTCAATAGAATGAAAAAAAAATAATGTATACTTGATAATGAAATAAACTTATGTAAAAACTAGAGACTTCTCAGATGAAGTGAAAGAAATGAACTAGTTTATGTCCAAGGTGCCTTTCATCTTTTCTCCAGGTGTTGTTGGTCTTACTGTTTGAAGTAGGGGGAAAGTCATTTTCCTAATGACATTTTGTTAAAGTGAATTCTGAAGGCTCATGGAAAAGCCAAGAAACAGCAGAACAGCTGAGGGTGGGACTGCCACCAACAGTTCCTCTCTTCCCTTCAGATGTGTCAATATCAGATATGCTAGTTAGAAAAATGCCTTTTAATATTTCTTACTGACTATATTTGTACCGTGCTGTTTTTCATGCTAATTTGATTTTTTTTTAAGGTTACATGTGTTAAGGCATGTTTTTCATTCTTCAATAGGGGAGTTTGGTTGGCTTAGTGGACTATCCAGATGATGAAGAGGAAGATGAGGAAGAAGAATCATCCCCCAGGAAAAGACCTCGACTTGGCTCATAGAATACTTGCTGGGAGACTCCCAACACATGGTCTTACTAAAACGCTGCAGCTGCTCACTGAGCTCAAGTCTGACTCGGAAAGCTTTCTCATGGAACTCAACACACACACGGAGTAGCAGAGACTCAGTTATCAGATAGGAAAGTGTAGTTGTTTAAGAAAAACCAGGCTCCCCGAGAACTTAATTGTTTCCTACTGATTAACGGTTTGCCTTTTGGGCTGTCCGAAATCAGAAGAGGAAGAAGAAGAAGGAATGATTGTTGGAGCCTGGGTGAAAGCTTCCCAGCGAGGAAAGTCTCAGGTTTGGGGGAGGAAGGGTTGTTAAGGAAGGGTTGTTAATGCAGGGTTGCTTCAGGGGGTCCAACCTATAGAACATCGTGAGACTTCAGTACCCAATAACATTGCTTGTATAATGGTGCTGGCCATGTTGTTGTTTTAATCAGCTGCCTCTTTTTAAAAGAACTTTTTTATGTACAACAAATTGAGCTGTAATTTGAAATGAAGTTACGTTGTTGGGACCATTTCTTTAAAGATTTCACAGAAGTCAGCCTTTGGTGTTTGACAGGACATATACCCTAGGTAACAGCACATACCAATTTCTTTACACCAGAGACTTCTAGTACATTCAAAAAACAAAAAACCAAGCTGGGTTCCAAATGGATAGTTTTCTTAATAGAACTTTCAAAGTCAGCACTT